AGATGATTTACAGCAAAATGACCTGAAAATAACATTTGCAAGATAATTTTCTTAAAAGTAGAAGAAGCTGAGTCTAGCAGCTGGCGTAGAATGTAACGAGAATCTCTCATGAGTTTGTCATTCTGTAAGCTGTCAAGGACCTCTTCAAGTTTCATGTCACAGGAACCTAAAGTTTCATGGCTCACACCACCAATTTTATAGTTGGGGCTTTGCAATCAAAGTGATATCTTGTAGCCAAAGGTACAGATCTATTTTTCAGGAACCATCAGCAATTTGTTTAAAAAAAAAAAATCCAGGGTCCCATTCATCTTGATTCAATTATTTGGCACAGTGTTCCAGTTGTTATTTACTTATCACTTTGGTATTCCTACCTCTGAAATGAATATAAATCTCAGGAAAATGGTATACAGCTATATAATAAGATTTTTTTAAAGTTACTTGAAAACAAATTTTAGGAGGTTGGATCAGCTATGAAGTGATTTACATTTAATTTAGAAACAAAAGTTTTATATCAAGAGACAGAGAAAGAGAGGGGGCGGGATAAAGAACACAAGCTAAAGAATATTCAGAAATTCTACCAGTGAGATGGAAGTTAACTTACAAATTACATCTAGCATCATTTTTCACATTGTGCCTTGACATATTATCTATGACTTGGAGCCACATAGTCTTTTTTTGCATATATGCAGTCTTAGTGTGATAAATTCAATTATTTCTTCAGTGACAACCACTTATTTTGAACCTGAAATAAAAATCTATGCACAATACTGTAACAATGGAGATAAGATCACAGTGGACAGTTCAGATTTGACAGCTGAAGTGGCAATGAAAGTCAGCTTAGCTTCCAATTTCCACAGCTCTGTTGCCCTGATGATTTTTAATGCCTCAAATCACAACAGTACTGCCAGATACCTGACTTTCTAGAAAAGTTGTTGGTAACTGAACACTGGCTATCCAAAAGCACATCCTTCTCCATCATATACTCTCTTCCCCAATCCTGACTTGCATGGTACCTGTTTTTCCAAACAGTGTAGGCATCCCTGAATTCAAGTGATTTTTTTTAATTTCTAAGAATACATTCCACACTGTCAGTACAGTGCTGAAAAAATTGGAATCACAAAATGCATACTTGGTGGTTGATTGTTTTTTTTAAAGAAATTAATTAATTGTGTGGTTAGAAAAATAGAGAATAATGTACTACTGGAAATCTAATTACTATCTCCTTTCCCCACCCAGAATTCACCAGAATATTAATTTATTTGAGAATTTTGAGATTCTTCAACTCAGAGACTTTAGATAATGATGGATATACATAAAATTTTAATATAAATTTCTTTTATACTTATTAATTCCTGTCTCCCCACCCTTTTTCCTCACATTAATTTTTTTTTCTATGCATACAAATTTTGGTAGACTCTTCTTGACATTTATGCATTTATTCAACCTTCAAGGGACAATTAGGGGCCCTTTAGTCCTAGGGTCTATGTGTGGCATTGAAGATACAAATTGATAAGGCACAAAGTTTCTAAGTATATAAAATAGCACAGGAAAGAGTTTTATGCAGTGGTATGAAGACAGAACTGCTGCTACAGAAAACTGACATTGTGCAGCAGCATGATGAGAAGTCAGGACTAGCTAAAGTGCTACCATTTCCCATTGTCTCCCATTTCAGCAAATATTTTTTCCATATCCCTCCTGTAATTCTTTAGAAGACAAAGGATTCTGTAAATGGAATAATAGGTGTGGAAGTACCATGGATAATTGTGTCCTAATAGAGGTTTCCCTTTCTATGAGATTTCTGATGATTGAGTACTTGGTATGCGGTTTGTTTTCTAATTACAATCAATCATTTCCTCCTTGAAGTCATTCTGGTAACACATCTCTGCCACTATTTTTAGATCTATGACAAATTGTATATTCGGTACTAATTCAGAAATGTTTTTCATTCAATAGCTCTCATCAAATACTGCTTTAAAGGAGATACAAATAGTCATGTGATTCCAAGGGTTGACTCTACTTCAAACAGAAAGGCAGTTAAGTCCATTAGACCAGTTAACTTCTCAAGGATGCCATGAGCTGATCTCACACCTACATAAAGAAATCATTTACTATAGTTGGGAATGGACCCCATATCCCCAAAATATCTCCCTATACAGTCATTTATTCTTGAATTTTCTTAAACAAAAAATGGTCTTGAAAAGATGGTGGAATGAGATGGACATCATTACCCTAAGTACACATATGAAGACATGAATGGTGTGAATATACTTTGTATACAAACAGAGATATGAAAAATTGTGCTCTATATGTGTAATATGAATTGTAATGCATTCTGTTGTCGTATAAAACAAATTCGAATAAAAAATGAATTTTTTAAAAAGATGGTCTTGTTTCTAAATTGTAGTTCAAATAGAAGCAGTCCTAGAAAAGCTCATATATAGTCCTCAATTCATACCAAACGAAAAATAACTAACATCAACAGACTTGAACTCTTTCCTAAGAAAAGTCAACCTGTTACATAGGTCAGTATAAGAACCTAGAAGAATTCATCATATAAGAAGGGAAGGACACAGATAAGCACTTGGGAGGAGCTAAAGATAAATTTCCTCTTATCTGCAGTTTTGGAAAGAATCAATGCTGAGTTGGGGTTTGGCAGGTCTTTTCCCCAACGTTTGCCATATTAAATTCCATCCTCGTGTCAGTTCCTGAGTTCCAGTAAGAAAGGATTTGAATTTGCATTCAAACTGCACACATAATCAAATCTTTATAAAACCACAGTGGGCTCTCTCTGTTTTTAAAGCAAGTGTTTAGTAAAGTTTTTCAAGTTCAATTCATGATGCCAACTCAACTATTCCCGACTCAATCATCTTTTTTTGCTCTCTTGGAAGAGAAGAAACCAAGCCTCCTCAGATGGTTTTGAATTCCACTGATTCAGGCTGGCCTTCCAAGCAGTTAAGGCACTATGTATTGAAGGAATGCGTAGGTGAAAGAACAAAGAAACCAGAGAACAGGAAAAGGAGTGGAAGCTACTGTGTAAGGTTCTGAGTGCAGTAAAGTCATCTCCATAGATGACTAGTGCTACACTAGTCTCTCCGTGGACTTGAACTTCCTGTCTTTATGCCAGATCCTTTTGCTTTGTAAGACATACCATGAGGTCTAAAATGCTCGGAAGGGGTGATGACAGTTGCATTAAAAAGTGGCACTTTCATATCTGCCTCCATTAATGGCACAAGTGTGCACATAGGGTGACGATGGCATGGAACATGTTTCTCAGCCTTCCTGTTCATCCCTGAGGCTGACGGGGAATGATTATGTGGTGGTGTAAGACATTATCTGAAGAGCACTTATGTTTCATTGTGTTTACCTTTATTGGCTTAGGGAAAGTGGAAGGGTTGCCTTTATGTGGTACTTTGTGGTAAGAACTCTCATTTCCCAAAATATACGTGTGTGTCTTTCAATCAGAGGACTTCCAACTGTGCTAGTGGCAACCGCTCTGTGTGGTTTACCCTTGGATGTGTCACAGGAGAAATCAGAGGTCATACTCCCTGTATAATAAAAAGCAGTCCTGCCTCTGAGGTTTATTCTACACAGGCAGAATAAAGAGGGGATTTGATAGAACCACAGTCAAAATATTAAGCAAAACAATTACTCTTCAAGATAAGGAAATGTTTCCTTAAATAATGAGGCTTTATAAGGGCCATTTAAATAACCCTATAGTGCTGGGGATGTAGCTCAGTGATAGAGTCCTTGCCTTGCTTGTGTGAGACCCTGGGTCTTATCCCCAGAACTGCAAAATAAATAAATATAGAGCCCTAACAGTATTTCTGAATGAGACCTTGCTATGGTTTGGATATGGGATGTCACCCAACTGTTCCTGTGTTAATGCAAGAATACTCAGAGGTGAAATGATTAGATTGTGAGAGCTGTAACCTAATGAGTCCATCCTAGTATGAATGGATTAACTAGCAGTTGGGTTGTGGCTGGAGGAGGTGGGTCACAGGGGGCATGCCCAGGAAGGGTGCATCTTCCCTGAGATACCCTCTCCCTTTCTCTTTGCTTGGTTGTCACTATAAATAGAACAACCTCTTTCTGCCATGATGTGCTGATTCACCACGGGCCCAGAGCAATGTACTTAGCCAACCATGGACTAGACCTCTGGAAACAAAAGCCAAGATAAACGTTTCCTCCTCTAAGTTGTTTCCTTGTCAGGCATTTTGGTCACAGTGACACAAAGCTAACACTGACCTTTTAACAAGTTTCAGGGAAGGAGGTTAATTTTTAAATTAAAGAAAATTCACAGTTAATTAAAAACAACGAGATCAAATGTTGAAACTCACTTATAAAGCAGAAAAAAGAAAAGAAAAGAAAAAAAGCATTAACTGAAGAAACAGATCCTTGAGTACCAAGCAACATAGGATTCTTTTTGGTTCTAATTTACCTGAAGAATCTTTTTGCTATCACTTAGAAGCCTTTCATGTAGTTGAAAATCAATCTCTCACACTCCCTTGAACCATTTTGTTGATTTTTGACATCTCACATATGCAAAAATCATTTACTCAAAATGACTAGAGAAGTGGAAAAATTAGAGTTTCATGGTTTACGGAATGAAATTTATACAGATTTTACAGCTTTGCTTTTAAAGAAAGGAAAATGTTTTCTGCAGTTAAAAAATCATTCCAACAGATGGGTCTATCTCCTCTATTTTTATTTCTATTTGGCTTACGGGTGAAGTACCCTGGACATAGTTATAAATTTAAAATCAGAGGAACTGCTGAGGGGAGGGGGTTTTCCTGACTATAAAATACAATGAGGACACAGCTGCAGTGTCTAGAAATTGAGGGACTCTAAAACTATAAAAATAATACTGCTTCCTGTTCCTTGTTTCAAGATCAGCTTGGAAATGAGAGCTAAGTTCTATCTGGTTTTCCATTATTTATAATGATTAATCTAAAGGCCACTTTCCCAGGAGAGTAATTAGCCAGTCAATTTCTCAGTGTGAATCCAGCATCCCTGATTAAGTGTAACTTTACAATTAGAAGTGGCCAAACATTCAATAAAACAGAGGACAAGGTATCTTTTTGAACTGGGGACAGTTGGTGGAAGAGGCAGAAATCTAACAGGAATAACTGATCCCACTCCATTGAGAAGAGTTCATGGGGCAAGTCAGAATCACATTAAATGTGAGTCAACACTGAAATTCTACCTACTTCTCTTTGTATATATATTTGTTAGGTTTTATTTTTGTTTGGTTGACTTGGGGGGGGGGGCGGTATTTGGTTTTAGTACTGGGGATTGAACCCAGGGGTGCTCCACCACTGCTCTACTTTCATTCTGTGACAGGGACTTGCTAATTGCCCAGGCTGGCCTCCAACTTGTGATCCTTCTGCCTCTGCCTCCCGAGTTCCTGGGATTACAGTTGTGCACCACCATGCCTAGCATATGTGTTTTGCCTGCTACTTGCTCAACTTGTAACTATCTAACTTGCACATTTTCTTTAGCAGGTCCTAAATTGTTAGCTGACTCTTGTCTGACATCTAATATATTTAAGGATTACTTACCCTTCCCCACCATCTTCCAGTCATCCCCAACATACTAGTGTCAGGGACAAGGCTCTGAATACCTGATTTCAGAACATACTAATCCTCTGATAAAATTTCATAAGAACTAATTTCTCAGAAGCCACAGTCTCGAGCATTATCTCTTTAGCATTGTATCCAATGCATTGTTGTCCTGGATCTTACCTACTCTTCCAATTTGAACTCCTTTTGCTTCCTTTTGTCTGCTTTATATTCTAGAAATACTAAGAGGAATTGTGGTAGTAGTAGAAATAGTTGTAATAACATCTGTGGTAGTGACCATCTATTGGGCATCAATTACACAAGAGATCAAGGGTCATATACTTTATCTCATCTAATCCCCCTAATAGTACCACAGGGTAGATATAATCATTTCTGCTTTATAGCCAAAAGAAGTGAGGCTCTGAAATAGTAAGTAGCTTCTTGAAAAATACACAGTGAATAGGTAGCAGAGGTGCATTTCTTAATCTCTTGCAATGTGACATGCTATTTTTTGCCTCTAGGTCTTGTCGCATTTTCTTCTATCTTACCTTAATGCCATTCATTGCTTTTTTTTTTCCATTGTTAAAAATTCCGAGTGTTCATTCTTCCAATCCCCAGCAGTGCCGAAAAAAAATCTAGTTATTCTTTAGAACTTTCTCTGTGAAGTCTTCTCTGACCTATAACCTACCTCCCCAGGAAAAGATAATCAGTTTTCTTCAAGTCTTTCCATTTTTATGTCTCACACACACACACACACACAATTATTCTACTCATGATAGCAAAAGAATGTAAAGAAACCTTGGAGGAGATAGATAAGATTACTGTCTTAATTGTGCGTATGGTTTATGGTTTTATATATATATATATATATATATATATATATATATATATATATATGTCAAAACATCAAATTGTGTAATTTAAATCTGCACAATTTATCACCCATTATATCTCAGCTAAGCTGTAAATAATTAATTTTAAGAGATCATCATCATATTAAGGATAAAAATAACATTTATTTTTAAGCCTTTGTTATTTATAACATGCATAAAAGCAAATGTTTGCTTTGTGTTTGAACATGATACACATTGTTTACTTCAAATTTACCACATGAGGTAAAGGTGATTTATCAATGAATCCAGTGTTTCATGTTCGCTTTGAGAGATAAATGAAAATGTTTAATGTGGATTGAAGTACATTTAGCTACTGCATCAAACAATAGAAAAAAAATTGTTTTCAGAACTTGATATTGTAGATCTCTACATTGACTTTTCTGAAAGTAATTAACTAGCTTATTTTTATACATATTACATTTACTTCTAAATATAATACCTGGATGACTGAGTGACTGAGTCATGAGTTCTACCATCAAAATATTACCAGTGACTATTTCTCACCACCTCCATGGACCCCACTCTGCTCACATCATCATTATCTGTCCTTTGGGTTATTACAGAAGTCTTCCACTCGCTCACCTCCTAGTGTCCCTGCCCCTCCCCCCCTCCTTTTCAATGTTGGGGATAGAACCTAGAACCGTGGGCCTTGCATGTCCTGGGAAAGTGCTCTATCACTGGGGTACCCGCCCCACCCCATACCCTATTCTTCAAACAGCCCCAAGCACCTTAGGCATTCCTTTTCTCAAGACTCTCCAATGTTCTTCCAATGGCCTTCGAGGCTTTACCATGAGTACCTTCTCATTCAGCCTACTCCAAGCCCACACTCTTGGTCTTGCTCTTACTCAAACCTGTCAGCCACACAGCTTTTGACTTGCTCTGCCTACAAAATTTGTGCCTCTTATACACCCCAGTTTGCAGACTTATCTTCTTTAGGAATGTACCCAAATGTCACCCACCTCCACTCCTCCCCCTATTCTCTGCCTTGTTTTCCTACATATTCGACATTATGTATTTTGCTAGTTTTGTGTATTAGATTAATTTGCATTTATGACTCTAATTATTGCCCTACATGCATCTGCACCTCTTGCAAACTAATTTGAAGCTTCTCCCATCAACAGGAGATATCTGTTCCCCTACCCTTGAACCCAGGATGGCCTTGGGTCTTGTTTGCCCAAGAAGCAACAGTGAGTCAGTGTCAAGGTGAAGTGTCAAGAGGCATTGTGTACTTCCACTCTCTCTTGCTTCTCCCCACTGTCTTTGCCATTAAAACAAGCTCAGCCCAGCTTAGACTCAGACTAAGGAACGCTCCCAAGTGAGAAGGACCAAACCAGCTTTGTGAACCCTTAGATATTGACAAATCAGAAGTGGTTGTTTTACGCTCTTAGGTTTGGAGTGATTTGCTCTGCAACATTATTGCAACAACAGACAGCACATGTTTTTCTACTTTCTCCTTCAGGTGGAATACAAACTCCAAGGGAGCAAGAATTTGTCTCTGTTTTGTTCCCTGAAGCATCCTCAGGATAGCTTAAGAAATATTCATTGAATCAGATGGCTCAAATAAAGCGAAAGTCATTTTGAGGTGAATATTGAGAATATACCACTTGTAAATCATCATGAATTCCAGAATTTAAATGTTAATGTATCACAAGTGGTATCATTGATAAGTGGTTTATTAGGAATCCAATATATACAGTGTATTAGAAAAATAATTTTAGTTTATAATTCTGCTGTCAATGCAATGACCGATGCTTAGGGAAGATACACCAAATGAAGGATGGATTAATGAACTTTGTTTAACTGATCTGGGCTTGATATGCACAATATTGGGTTATCTGTTGCCATGTAATGAATTACTCCAAATATGGCAGCTAAAAAATAAATATTTATTATCTTATGGTTTCTGAGGGTCAGGAATCTGAGAATAGCTTAAGTGGTTGATTCTGACTCAATCAAGTGTTGAGCAAAGACGCTATCATCTTAAGATTCAACAGGGAAGGACTTTTGTCCACGCTCATTCACACAGTTATCCCCAGACCTCAGGAAATACACTTCCAAACTCACATGGGCTTTCAACATAATTGACAACAGGCTTCCTTCAGAGTGAGTGATACAAGAGAGAGCTAGAAAATGCACCCAAGAAATAAGCCAGAGTCTTTGTATAAACTAATCTCAGCAGTGAAATCCCATCATGCTGTAAAGTATTCATTAGAAGAACTCAATAAGTTCAGTCCACATTCAAAGTGAAATAATTGCTCAAGGGCATGATACTAAAAGGTAGAAGGTCACCAGGCTCATTATAGAGGCTGCTTACACATGCACATACAGGTCCTCAAATTCTATTTTGAAAAGGCAAGATTTAAATAATAATTTCCATGTTAATTTTGAAAATATTAAAGTCATAGAAGATGCTATTATTGAATTTAATAATGTAAACCTCAGAACACTGTTTCAAAAAAAAATCTGGAAACTAAATTTCCTTGCATGCCCTGAATCTAGAACAAGTCTCTAATTTAAGGGTGTTCAGAGGAGACAACGTGATTTAAATGAACCAAGTAAAATCTGTTAACACACACACAAAAAATATTCTCTCTCTAATAACTACACATTCAACATTCAACATTCCTTCATTTAATCTGAAAGACCTGTTTTCAAGAGTCATTTATTTCATCAATTAATTAAGTATCTAATGGTAACTAATTGTGAGAATAAATATATTTTTTTATCTTACACTTTTATATATTCTTATCCTTGCCCTTGAAAGCTTAAAATTTAGGTGCAATATAATGAGTAACAACAAGTGAAGAGGGGCTTCATAAATTATTTTCAGCTAAGCATTCCTTTTCTGCTTAAGAAAATAGATGACTAAAACAGTTATTAAATTTATATCTCAAATAATTGAAAAATAATTCTGCCATATCACTATCCTTCCCAGAACCATACTGATTGGTATCACGAGAAGTGAAAAATAATTCTTCTAAAATAATATTTCCCTTTCAATTGATTCTTTTTTACAAGAGCAGCAGGCTGTGCTGCACCATGGCTAACAGGTGCTAACTCACAACTGCTCTCCCATTAAAGTCTGCAGGTACACAGGAGGCCAAGGCAGCAAGGCCACTTATTTTTTCTTTCCTTGTTCAGTAAACAAGCAGGGGAAAAAGTCTAAACAAATGCTTATTCATTAAAAAATATATATATTCACCGTGCATTTCTTGTTGGACAAATGTGAGTCTACTCCCACACTGGCATGTAACTTATTGTTCTGATCAAATAACTGAATCAGGATGGAAGCATCACATGCATATATGTCCACGCCCTCTGAAAAACACTCTGCAGCAACCCGATCCTCCACTGCAAGCCCGGCGTCAAAGGAATAAGGGATCTTTGGCTAAAAGGCCAGGGACACTAGTAGATGGGAAGGGAGTGAGGTCAGAGGGGTGGCAGGTGCCATCATAAAAGGGACTTATACGCACACACACCACACACCACACAAAACCATTTACACATACCATACTACAGACATCATACACACCTCCACCACACACACACACACAACCAGATACCACACCCCCACATACACTATATACAACCACACACATACACACACACACATACACACCATATACCACACCCCACATACACTACAATCACATACACACACCACACAAACATCACAGCCATCACACACACACTACACACCCCCCACACACACCACAAAACCACATACCCTCCCACACAACCACACAGAATTACACCATATACACACATACACATAACATACCACAGACATCACACATGCCACACCACACACAAAACCATACAAACACCATACTATATACATCACACATACCCCCGCCACACACCACACACAACCACACACACACACACCACACACACATATCGCAGCCATCACACATATACTACACACACCACACAACCACACATCCCCATACCCACAACCACACAGAATTATACCACACATACACTACACACCATACACACACATATACACACCTTAACCACAGAAATCACACACACCACACATCCCTACACACACACCAGACCCCATGCTCCTCCTCACACACACCATACTACACACATCACAGACACACACACCCACACACACCACACTACTACACACCACACACATATACTCCACATACAGAACCACACAGAATTACACCATACAACACACACACTATACCACAAACACACCCACACACACACCTTATACACACATTACACATACCACATACCCCATATACAGAATTATACCACACACACTAACACCACACACACCATACACAGCACACACATACATACACCATACCACAGACATTACACACACTACACATCCCCCCACACACAACCACACACCACACACACCATACCCAGACATCACAGACACACACCTACATGCACACACCAAATACACACACTGTACATACACACACCACACATACCACGCACCACACCACATACACAGACACACACACACACCACAACATACTCACCCAATGTCTTTCTGGAAAACCAGAATGAGCGAATAATCACATTTATCTCAGAACATGAATGTCTTTATTTCTCCTAAGATGATAGATACAGGAGGCACCCTGTGATTCTCTTCAAAGGACTCCTCTTACTTTTGTAGAATGATTAAAATACTGATTGATACAGCAAATACTGAGAGCTGAGCTAGCTCTCGTGTAACTTTCCAACATCAGCTTAACATAAACCCAACTAAGTGCTTATCCCATGACACAATGGCACAGTTCACCCTCTTGAATTGAACCCTGTGTTACACTGACACCCTTGCTTTAATAGTATAATATCTGAAATTTTCTCCTTACATTTTTAAAGAAATTATCTTGTTCTTTCAGGCAGAACAAGTCCATTTCTTGAGAAAGTAAAATAGAGAAATAAGCTCCTTATTTGTGTAATGAAAGCAAAATTAAAACTACTTTACATCAATTACCTGATCATCATAAATAACTTCCATTTTCTCCCTTATATGTGTAGCATCTATTTTCCAAGATGTCAAATAAAAAAGTAATAAAGTACAAAGAATGCCTACCTTAGAGGAGTTTGTGAAAATGAATGGAATTTAAGCTAGAAGGAATGTAATTAGTTTGCCCAGAATTTGACTAGGCCCACTGAGTTAACCCCATAGTTTTGTTTGTTTGGTTTGGTTTTTTAATTGGGCCACAGACCCATAAACTTCAGGAACACAGTAGTTACTTATAACCTCATAAACAAATTACTTCAAAGGAAGGTCTCCTCCAGTCAAGTGCAATCTTTTGTCTAATGCACATGACCAGGCCACTGGAAAGAATAGTTTTTCATTTCATTTACCAAAAATATCCCTGCTGCAATAAATCAACAAAAATTTGCTGAGAGCCTTGCGTGAAGAAAGCCTCACCTATTGTGCTGGGGATCTGCTTACCTGGATTGTTGAAGTTCTTTCAATTTCACACTGAAACCTGCTTAAAGCACCTAACTCTAAGCTACATGAGCAGAACCTCTGCAGCCCTCAATACATAGGCAGACCAGAATTCCTAAAAACTTCTGCTCTCTCCAACAGCTTTGTCCTGCAATTTAATGCTTTTCATTCACCTATCTATCACAGCATAAAAACTGTTAAATTTTATGTTATTATCCTTGACTGTATTAGTTAAAGCATTCCTATGGCTCTCTACATGCTGCCCTTGGATCTCAAGCTTGCAATCTGTTCATTTGCTTGTAAGTTTTAGGCTGAAGAGGGTACAGGACTCCATTTCACACATGAGAAGGCCAGTCTTTGATTCTATAACAGGGGATTTTAACCTGGACTTTGCTAGGTATCCATTCACTTGACATTTTAAGCAAAAGTTGCCAGGGTTGCTGCTGAATAATTTGTCTGGTCTTTTATCCTGATTTCTGGGCCTGGAGCTTCTAAATCCCTTGGAATCTCTCAAGTGAAAGGAGTGTCTTTGTTATTTATAGACTCCCTGGTAACACACTTGTGTTGCTGCTAATGACATGACCCAGGATGGGGGTGAGCCACCAGAAAGACCAACACCACCCTTTGAGCTCCTGACCTCTGGGAGGAGAGAAGAGAGAAAAATGTGTTGAAAAACACAACCGGTGATTCAGTCAATCAGCCTGTATAATCAAACCCCAATAAACACTACGGACCCCAAGAACCAGGTGAGATTTCTGACTGATGTATACATTGTTACATTGATGGGGGCTGGGAGGCTGGGGTCAGGCATCCTGATTCCCTGGGGAGAGGACAACAGAAACTGAAACTCTACCTTCATGTATCTTCATTTAGTTGATCCTCAATTTTATCTTCTATTTAAAAACAAAAATTGTAAGTAAAATGTTTTCCTGAATTCTATGAATTGTTCTAGTGAACTATCCAACCTGAGTGAGTCGTGGGAATAACCAGATTGGTAGCTAGGTGGACAGAAATGCAGGTAGCCTGTGGACCCCCAAGCTTGTGACTGGCATCTGAAGTAAAGACAGTCTTTGGGGAGCCATTCCCTTAAACCTGTGCAGTCTGAGGCTACAGAATTACATTAGAGTACACTAAGGGTTGGTATCTAATGTTAGATTTTCAAAAGGCTCTTTGACCCAAATACTGACATTAGGAATCATTGTTCTACAGTCCTAAGCAAAGAATTTCACAAATAAAAGCTTTTTAAAAGAGGATCAAGCCAGGCACAGTGGCACACGCCTGTAATCCCAGTGGCTCGGGAGGCTGAGGCAGGAGGATCCCAAGTTCAAAGCCAGCCTCAGCAATGGCAAAGTGCTAAGCAACTCGCTGCGATCCTATCTCTAAATAAAACACACAATAGGGCTGGGGATGTGGCTCAGTGGTTGAGTGCCCCAGAGTTCAATCTCCAGTACCTGCCCCACCCTCACCCCTGGCCCTGGTAAAAAAGAGGACCAAGAAAGTCACATTAGCTGTGAAAATGGCCAGTTTAGGTTCACTTACAGAAATGTCTATGTAAACCATCAGATACCTCAGATACTTAAATCCTTTGCTACTCTAAATTTACCAAACCAAAAAAGGAAGCAAGCAAGCAAAGAAGGGAGGGAGGGAGACAGGGAGACACAGAGACAGCTCAATACCTAATTTGTTATTTTCTGTGCCTGAAGTCCCCTTACCCAGTTCCTTCTGCAGCTTCACGCCGTTCACCATTTGTTCAGGCCGTCAACCATGGAATTATCTTTGACTCCTCTATATTCTCATACCCCTGTCTAGAACACCAACAAATCCTTCAAAAGGTATCAAAAGCTGATGATCTTCACTTCCTACTGCAGTGGTTCTAGCCTTGTGGTCCATGAACTGCTGGAGTCCCCAAGATCTTATCCAGGGATCACAAGACATTTACTAAAGGGGAATTCCAGCAAAAGAAGTCTGTCACTTCAAGGGAAATAAAAACAATTTCAGAACTCAAACACTATTTGACCTTTTAACTCCATTGATATTTGCAGTGATGGTTAAATAAAATTTTAAAAATATAAAAAAGGCATGATGGATAAAAACTATTGTGTCCCAGCACATATTAAGGCAACCATGGTGGGATGGCGCCATCTTAGTCCTTTGCCAGTTTTTTGTTACTATAACAAAAGAACTGGGATTGAGTAATTTATAAAGAACAGGAATTAATTTTCTCACAGTTCTGAAGGCTAGGAAGTCCAAGGTCAAGTTTCTGACACATTTGGTTGGTTATCTGGTAAGATCTGTTTTTCAGCTTCCAAGATGGTGCCACATTGCTGCATCCTCCAAAAGGGAAGTGTGCTGTATCCGCACATAACAGAAGGTGGAAGGGCAAGCAAATTAACACTACTTCATGGGGCTGGGGATGTGGCTCAAGCGGTAGCGCGCTTGCCTGGAATGCGTGTGGCCCGGGTTCGATCCTCAGCACCACATACAAAGATGTTGTGTCCGCCAAAAACTAAAAAATAAATATTAAAAAATTGTCTCTCTCTCTCTCTCTCAAAAACACACACACACACACACACACACACAGACACTACTTCATAAGACACCTAATCCCATTCACAAGGGAGGAGACCTCATGACCTATCATCTCTGAAAGGTCCCAGCTCTTTTTACCATCACACTAACAACATCTGAATTTTGGAAGGGAGATATTCAAATCATAGCAGATACCTTGTGGACTTGTATTCCTCACTGCCCTACCCTGATGTCAGGGAGGGAATTGAGGGAGAACAGGTGGTTTCTCTTAAGAACATTTTAACAAAATAGTATTGACATTTTTTTTTCATTAAATATCAGTCAGAAAAAAAGAAATATATATTATTTCTGAAAATAATTTATTCTTGATATTAAGAAAGCATAGAATACCATTTTCCCCCACAAATAACCCCCCCCCCTTTTTTTGGAAAAGATGTCAGTAGTGCCAGATGTATAATTTATTAATGTCTAAATGGCAAGTTTATTATTATTATTATTATTATTATTATGCTATGTATTAGTTACAAAACTTTATCTGTTCATATTATTATAAGGTATATACTCTTTTCTATAACTTCATAGCATACATCAGTGTGTATCAAAATGACCTTTTGGGGGTTGGGAGGTGAAGGGAGGGATCATGGGGTTAGAAATGATGGTGGAATATGATTTATATTGTTATATAAAGTACATGTATAAAGAACTGAATTCATGTAAATATAATTTCTATAAAACCAGAGAAATGAAAAATTGTGCTCTATGTGTGTAATAAGAATTATAATGCATTCTGCTGTCATATGTAATTTAAAAATATTTAAAATTAAAGATAAATGATGGCATTATGTTCTAACTGAAAATAAATACTACTCTGTTTAAAAATTGAAAAAATAAATAAATAAATAAATAGCAGTCAGTGAGTCCATGCCTTTATAATATTCTAGGTGATAAAATGGGAACTACTCATAAAACACTTCACCCAATGCTGAAATATACTTGAGCAATTCTATTGCAAATTCAACTACACCTTTTTCCATGGAACACCATTTTTACTTAAATGAACAACTGATAGACAAGGTTCACATCGAGTATTTGAACAGAAACCTTATTGCAAAAAGAGCAAAGTTAACACGTCACTTCAAGAAAAACAAAACACAGAAATTAGCACTAATCGTAAAAATTCAACATTTCAAGGGAAAATTAGAATTTCAGAAGACTCATAACTACCATTGTGGGCTTGACAGCTTCCTAATACTTGAAAAAAACTTGATGAGATTGGGGATGATATTAGTGAATGTGACTTTTTAATTTTGTATAATAAATCATGTCAACATTTAGAAAAATCTGCATAACTCAGTATAACAACATTTTACAAATGACAACTTCATGATGTTATCAAATTAGTCATAGATGAAGATGTATTCACAGTGGAGACTAAGTAGTATATAATACAGACTTACGTATTTTAGTATAACAGAGCACAAGAAAGTTTATTGATACAGTTTTGAATTCTATGTTCAACTAACCTTGTAGAATTATACATGTAATTTGGGGTAAATTATTACAGAATAGCTATTATGATCTGAAAATTCCTACATTTTCCAAGAACATCTCTGTAAGGAAGATTTTCCTCATAGACTTCAACCCAAGCAACATGTTACAACAGGCTGAATGTAATAGCATATACAAGAACTCAACTGTCTTCTAGCAAGCCAAACATTAACTAGATTTGTAAAAATGTAAAGCAGTGCCACTCTCCTCACTAATTATTTTTTCTTTGGGAAATCCAATTTTCATAATAATATGCTAATGCTGTAGGTTTATTATCATTTTCGATGAATTAAATGAAAACATTTTTTATTCCTAATGTGGCAAATATTGACAGATAGCCACAAAATTTTTGAAGCCCTTAACAATTCTGAGGGATAGAAGCATGTACTACAGACAAAATGTTTGAGAAATGCTACTTTACCATTCTGTTCCAAGCCATTGTCTCACTCCATGAATTTCTGTAATAACCTTTAGTTTGTCTCCATGTTCTCATCTTTATTTCTCTGCATAATCTTCCCAACCCAATTTCATAATGCTTCTTTTTCATGTAAATTGGATCATGTCAAACCCCATTGAAAACCCTCCAAAGAATTCCTTCCAATATCATCTGGAGAATAGAAGTGACACTCTTATTGGCCAACTAACACTAGCTGTGACCCTCACTCACATTCTGCCATCTCCCCTCCTCACTCTGCTCTTTCCATGGACTTTCTAAGACCACTTAAAATCACAATAATCCTAGGCCCTTCTGCTCTATTTTCCTCCACAACATTTATTGCCACCTGATGTGCAATGTCTTACCTATTACTTTTTTCAGTTTTATTATTTCAAGTAAACTACAACCTCTTGAAAGGCAGGAATGTTGCCTAATTCTGCTACATCCACTCACACATAATATATGCTCATTATATATTGGTTGAATGAATGAATGATTGAACAAATATACAGAATATACAGAAAATATACAGAAAAACAAATAAGTTCTGAAGAATTCTAATTTAGTCAGAGAGATTACTTGATGTTCCTAAGGAGAAATCTAATCTTTTTCAGTCTTATCTTGAACTAGGTCTAGATAAAATTATTAAGTAAGGGAAGTCATGGGCCTTTCTGAATCACAAATGATTGCATTCCAGTCAAATGACAAGTCCATCTTTCAGGTACTTCCAGGCAGCCAGTTTCCATGGACTCTGATCATAGCTTTATCAGTGAATTTTTCAAGCAGTGATCTCTCACATGCCCATCCTAGTTTGGCCTCTGGGTCCATAGCCTTATCCCTGGCTGGTTTAAGCATCACAAGGTCAGAGATAAGTGTGGGGTCCCTGTGTTTTCCCATTGTCAGGTCAGCTTTCAATTATTCTGATGACTGAACCTGCCATGCCTCAGAACTTAATTAAACAGGTTGCAACACTTGCTGGTAGTTTGGGGGCAGGTATCTGCCCACCTAGACCACATGACTGATCTCTTATAACATCTCTGTCCTGTATGCACACCCACGGTCTTGGCCTCTGTTTAGATTGCATAGCAATACTTGGTTCTCATCTAGCCTTTCCTTTTAGAAAACTGCTTGATTTATACTATTCTACCCTTTAGGACTCCTTAGGTCAATCCCTAGAGCAGTTATCTAACAGAACTTCCTGCAGTGACAAAAATGGCCCACCTTTGTACTGTCTAATATGATAAGTACTGGGTCCAGTTTGCAGATTCAGTGTGGCACCTACAACTGAATTTATTTTATTTTATTAATTAATTGAAATTTAAATAGTCACATTTGTCTGCTGACCACTATAGAAGACAGTATGGCTCTAGAATTGTAGATCAGCCCCAATCTTTAGACCTTTCAGATCACAGAGGTCTTCCTCTGTCTGCCTCAACTATTGTGCTTTATAAAACAAAAGTCATTTGCATTTTAACAGTGGCCTCTTGTACACTATCATTGATTCAGAGACAAAGGGAACAGGAGGGACCTTACACTGACAAAAAAATTTAAAAAATCCAAAAAACAAACAAAAAAAAAAACTTGGCCTATTTCCAAACATATGCGAAGCTAGAATTGTCATTGGGAATAAAAACTTTTAATTTTCTCCTTGACTTCCCTTCCCTCTGATTTTGTACTTGCATCAGCTTATTGATCACTATCTACACCAGAAAAGGTATTCGGTTTATTACTTCTAAATCACTCTGCCTTTTGTTAAAGCAACTGACCCTTTCTTTCTAATATTGATGTTTTAATGGATGAATTCTTACCACTTTTCCAAAGTTAAAGAGAATTGATCCAAACATTTTAAATGTAAAAATCTATATGTACAATCATTAGACTGAAGCAATGAAATGTCTATACAAATAAAATAACTAAAAATGAATTTATCAGAGGTCATCCAAAACCCTATTTGGATATTCAGACTAAATCCAAGGACAAATCTTTGCAACCAACTTAAATTGTATCCAACAAGTTGTAGATATGAGTTATAGATGTGTTTGTCTATCTAGACAAGTGGTAAATAGAGGATTCAAAACAACGAATTCTAAAAATCTGTGTGCTGAATGTTATAAATATAATGAAAACTCATGAGATGAGGATGCCTGGATATCTTTTAAAAAGAAAAAGAAACAAAGATAGAAAGAAGGAAAAATAGTACCACATACATGCTAAATCTGGTTACACTAATACATAGAACAGCTAGGATGTAATATAATAGTATATACTAGCTTTACCTATTGGTTATGGGATTGAACAATAATTCAAACAATGCACAACAGTGAGTTATCTGATACCCATTCAAGACTCTGCCACTGCTGTAGGTACCACCACCACTGGGAGTTCTCTTCCACCCCAAAATGTGTTACGCAAGTCTTCCCTGGAACCATAACTTCAGAGTGGATCCATTAGTTTTACATGTTCTCAAAAAGCAAGATTCAGGGTCAACAAAATATATTAGGAAGGAGTATAAGGCCATGGAGCATATTTATCTGGGCTGCAGCCCCCATGGGGCCTTTCTGTCTCTCTGGGGACTGTCCCTAAGGAGTATCTTTGATAAGTCTCTGCAGCAAGAAAGCACTGAAGTACAGCAACCAGATTTTCTGGATATTTCTCTTTCATCAACTCCCTGATTACAACCATTCACGGAGCAATTTTATGAAAAAAGAACTTTCCCCACCTAGTCTTGT